ATTGTAGAGATTAGTTGCACTGTATGGATGAATACCAAACAAGTGTTTAATGAGCATATGGGCAAAAGTTGAACACAAAGGATAATTATTCAAATTTTGGCGAGTTGATTGGCCGAGCGGTTAAGTCAGGGGCACCGTGACCTTCAGCTCTAGTATCGGCGTTGGTTCGAACGGCTCACTCGCCATTGGATCCGGTGGTGGAACAAGTCTTCTCGGATAAGGACTTTAAACCGTAGGCCCAGTGTACGCATTTGGCTCGTGTGCACTTTAAAAGAACCCGGTACATCATTCGAGAAGAGTAGGGGGTTACCCCGGTGTACTGGTCCATTAAGTCCCCTGTTGTTAAATGGATATGCCACGTAGGACAGTGATTAAGTTCACTTATTGGCATATCCTTGGCCCTCGTGCCTAAAGAAATGAAATGAAATGGAAATGAAGTGTGTGACAATAATGTTGTAAATCTTTGGTAGGCCTAATTTGTATCTGTATGTTTGCTTATATCACACAAGGCAACCTATCAACAGAAAAAAAATGGAAACAACCGATTCTGAACAAATCTCAACATCAGAAAATAATTCGACAAAGATGGAGACGTGCGAGAATGTTGATTCAGAAAAGAAAAATGAAGGGGCCGGAGACACAGATTCATTAAATACCCAAGATAGTTTGGCAGAAACTATGAAAACAGAATCGCAGTGTGTACCGGAGGACCAGAAGACGGAAAACGGTTCCAGTCAAACATCAGAAACTGTTACCTTTAAGCTTGTGTACATGAAGAAAAATTATGACATTACTTATGAACTTGATTCAAAGATATCGCAGTTGAAAACAAAAATACAAACACTAACAGGTAATTGGTTTTTATTATGTTTGATTGAAGAGGTCGATTATAACGGGAATCAATTATAGCCTGGGTAATGGGTAGGTCTGGTAATAAATGAATAACCTTTAAACTTTAACCTTTAGGCCTGTAGTTAAATTTCTGTAGTTAAGTTGTTCTGTAGTTAAGTTTTTTCCCCTGAAAAGTGATGGCGACGCTATCTCAAAATCGAGGGTGCACATTCCCCCCCCCCCTTTGCGTTCTTTTGTCTTTATTTCTTGTGGCTTCAAAAGCACCTTGAGACGGTTTTCTGTGGAAGGCGCTATATAAACATATGACCATTGATCATTGACCATTATTAATCTATAGGCCAAGTGTAATCACTCATAGGACAATTTTAGCTTGTAACCAGCCAGCCAGCCAAACAACACAGGTACCATATTGTTGCAATGATAATGGTTTAATATTTAACAAATATTGCAGATATGGATTTGATTAACCTTATTAATGTTATTTGAAGACGGAATTCTTTTTTATACAGTAGTATTAATTATACCCAAATGAAAATAGTTTTTTTATATGAAATAATAATACCAACTTCACTCAAGATTTACCTTTGAGATAATTTTGTGCTTTTTAGAGGTTCCACCAGCTATGCAAAAGTTAATGTACAAAGGTTTGGTGAAAGACGATCAGACATTACGGGAGGCAAAGGTCACGAACGGTGCTAAGATGATGATGATTGGTTCCACACTGAAGGACGTACTGACAGTAAACACCACGCCAAGTGCATCAGCTGTTGCTAGTAAAGTAGACACAGGTATTTTCAATGTAATAATATTTATATATAGAAAAATATTGTCTCGAGTTCGAACCACACACTGATAATTCTCGTTCGACTATGATTGAATACGCTGGCTTGCACTGTTGGTGGACTGTGAAGTAGTTAACTCTATGTTTCAGCCCTAAAGTTGGGTACTCATTGTGCCCGGCGGTTGTCAGCCAATGCGATTCTATGAAGAACACAATACGACGGCGCACACACAGCGGATAGTTTTTAATGACGATCCATTCAGACGACGATCAACAATCATCAGACGGAGTCTCATGGTCTAGTATTCAAAGAGAGCGGAATTGGATTCATCGTGCGACGATTGTACGACCATCGTACCAGGCAGTGAGTGCCTGGCTTTAGTGCCATTATATCAATGTTGTGATCATCAGGTTGTCTCACTCGCCAATGCGCGGTTGTTGGCTGACACGATTCTATGGAGAACACGATACGTACAGAACAGATCGTTTTGACAGTCCATTCAGGCCTCCACCGACAATCAGCAGACAGCATTTTGTTTGATTTGTCAACCGATGGTTGTACGACCGTTATAAAACTTAAATCCTTGAGTATCACGCCGATTGCGTGAGACTTTTTAGATAAATAAAGTGATGTCTATGTCTATGTCTAAATGTTATGATCATCATTTGTTTATTTTTGTGTAGCTCCTTCGAAAGAGCCTTTAAGTCGACAGAAACTACACAAGAAAGTCTTGGATAAAGGCAAGCCTGAAGATATCATGCCTGGTATTAAGAATAAAAAGGTAATATTCTTTGATAATAGTGGGAGGCATTGTGTGTATGTATATGATATAATGAGATCTTTGTGTGATGTCATCATATCATATCATATGATGAAATCATTGTGTGAAATTTTGCTACTAAAATCAAGTATACGGGTATTAAAACAGCAATGATTTCACTGGCTTTTTTTTCTGCTGCTCCCCTGCTTTGGAATGGAATCTCTATTAAAATCACAACTCTCTGGGCAGTCAGAACAGCTAAAAGGGGTTGATATAAATAATCAAATTATAATTTATTATTACAAAAGCAGGGAAGTAAGAAATTATTTGTTAATATGCATTAAATAATTGCTATCTTGTTTTCTTTTAGCCATTTTCTTATCCCATTTTGTGAATATATTTGTCCATTTACTTCATGCATCCATTTTTAATAGTGCATGAAAAACTTCTATGTTAATTGCTTAGTCATCACATGCTTTTCAAAAAAAATATTTTGTGGTTTTGCCTGGAAATGGAGATGCAAAAACATTAATGTATTAATTACAGTATTTTGAACACTTCTGAGCATGCCCATGTCATGGCAGGTGAGCGGGAAGGAACAATTTGTAATGCATTAATGGACAACAGTGTATAGTTTGTGTTAAGAAAGTCTGTCAGTTCATAACATGTTGGATTTCTTGCAGGAGTCATTGCCTACTTTCCCTATCTCAGGAATGTACAACAAGGCTGGTGGGAAAGTAAGGCTAACTTTCAAACTTGAAGTTGACCAATTATGGATAGGAACAAAAGGTAGGTTTGCAGACTGCTGCTTGGTGGTTGATATCTTTGGTTCACAAACTCGAATTCGGGTTTTAATCCCTCACTTTGTATTTCGCTTGTATCCTTGAGCAAGGCACTTTATCTACGTCACTTCTTTCCACGCAGGAGTATAAATGTGTGCCTGGTGAGGTTGCCTGCTACTGTACCAATAAGGCAGCGACACTTGAGCATTTGGACCCAATGACCAGGGAAAACAAAGCGCTTTGTAACCTAAATAACAATATCATCCTCTGCCAATCCCAATTGTCCCAAGTCAGGAAAAGCCCCTTCTGAGAGACCTGGTTGAATGACCGACCTTAAAGTTTTGTCCACTATCAAATTTAATGTGACAAAAAATGTGATGTACCCATATTTCATTTCGTTTATTTATTACGCCTCAAAAACGGTCCGGTGACTCCTATAGAAGCCAATGCTTCTATGACTCAGTGAGCCAGAAGTCCCAAATTTGAGTGTAATATGACATCATCATACCCATATATGGGCACATCACACAGATTTGTTACATAAAATTGGTGTGGGCAGAGTAATGCATCTAATTTTATTTGTACATTCCCTCCAGCTGAAACACAGGAAGAGCAGCAGTGCAACTGAACCTTGACCCCAGGATCTGCATAATTCGGTGTATTCAAAATGGCTGCCACCAATTAAGCCTACTAAGCGATGTTCCTTGTTCCGTATATATTTGTCTATAGCTTTGGTTTTTATTCTAAAATTTAATAAAATTCCTTGACATTATTATTACTGTGATAGAACATTTGTTTTTTGAATGATTTATATTTCAGAGCGAACAGAAAAGTTAAAAATGGAGTCAGTTAAGAAGGTTATAAGTGAACCAATTGAAGGCCATGAGGAGTATCACATTATGGTAGGTTAATATTTTATTTCTATGTCATGTAATATTAAATGGTTTATAATGAACATTATGTTCATAATAAACATTGAATCTGTCATTGCAGATAGTGTTCTGACCCATCAAAAGAGAGAGACGCACATGTACATGTCAACCACTGATCTCTACTATATTAGCTGGATTGCTCATCGGCCAATCCTGGTATAGAAAAAAGTAGGGCCTCCGACGCCATGTTGGAGGGCCTAAGTGACGTAAGAGTTTAGAGAAGTTTATTTTGGCATTTGTTTAGATTATAGTGAAAAATAACGATTCTTGCAATATTTTTCAATAATAAATATAAATTTAAGTTTTTCCAAACCATCTAACCACTAGACACGACTTTTTTTGCAGTTTTCAAAAAGCGGGAACAAAGTCGCGTTGTTATAGTGACGTCGATCTCTAACAACGCAAATAACTTCGCTTGCGCTTTCTTAAACTGCATAAAAAGTCACATCAAGTAGATATGATTATAATAATCATTACTTTAAATTCAAATTTATTATTAAAAAGTTTAGCAAGAATCGTTATTTTTAACAATAATTTAAACAAATGCCAAAAGAAACTTTTCTAAAATGATGCGTCACTTAGGCCTCCCAACATGGCGTCGGGGGCTTCACTAAAACCAGCCAATGAGCAATCCAGCTATTATAGTAGAGATCAGTGGCCTAACATGATAGCTGTGATGCCCTATCACATCACAAATGTAAACAGAAAGAGATACCTAACCTTAAAGCCTTGTCCAGCCTATCTAACGTTATTTGACAAAAACATGTGACATGCCTAAATATGGCATGATGATATCACATCATGACCATATATAGGCACATCATGACTATATATGGTCATGATGACATCACATCATGGCCATATATAGGCACAACATGACTATATATGGGCATACATATTTGTCAAATACAGTTTGATAGTGTGGACAGGGCTTTATCATTTTTTTTGTGACAAATAAATATGATGTGCCCATATTTGGGTGTAACATGACATCATCATGCCCATATATGAACATATCACACAAAAATGTTGATTAAGCATTATAGAAATTAGTTAACTTAATTCTTTAAGTAATTTACTACATCATTTTCCCTACAATTTGGGTCATAAGGTGTTTTTGATCATAAAAATGAAAACAATAAGATTTTTTTTTAAACAATTATATAATTATACAAATATAATTATCTGTATTTGTAGGCCCTCCAGCTCGGCCCAACAGAAGCCTCGAGATATTGGATATATTGGGTGCCAGCACAGTATGTAGATTCCATTAAAGATGCAGTCCTAGGAAAATGGCAGTCTTTCTTCTGACAAAAGCTTGTTGTTAACAAGTTGCATAATGCAGCAGTACTTGCTCACTACATTACAAAGGCCATCAAAGACAAATAGAACTACTTACACGTATGCACAACAGTTTGTATATGTACATAGAATTTCATTCGTTCTACCGGTATGTGAAAAACTTGTTGGGTTAAACCTCGATAGGATGGAAATATTCATAAAAATCAAAGTTTTGGTGTAATCCAAAAATGATTCTACTTCAGTCATAGGATTTCCACTATGTGACTTGGTATTGTCAGTATGACCGTAGTGGCTATTGAATATGACTGGTTGTACAACATGATATACCCACAATACTGTGCAGTTTTCATATGTACAGAGGAATTTAAATTCTAGGGCTCTATTATGTGTATCCAGCCAAATGGGTGACAATTCTCTATTAGCAACTGACAAATACGCATGGGCGGAATTATTATAAGTAGTGTACAGTATATAAAACCGTGAATTTGGATGTTCAAAGCATATGCAGGTGCTTTTTATATTGAAGTAACTCTACAGATTTTTTTCAGGCTCACTCACTTGCTCGCTTGCAAAACATGCCAGTACAGCAGGGCTACGTGTAAAAGCCTTAAGCTACTTTCACTCCACAGCCAGGATCTGGTCCGGTGCCTTTACAAAAAATCCTGAAAATTGGTTCCGTGGTAAAGAATAGGACCGTTCAAATCAAATTCGTACGATTTCTAATCCGGACATCTGATCATGAGTGATGGATGTGAGAGCCACTTGTATCGTGAAATCGTACATTTTTTTTTTTGTTAGACCAAGCTTGATTGGTTCAAACGCATACGTACTTGATCCCAAATAACCATGTTCCGTGCACAATGTGAACGCAGCGTTCAAAAGGCATAACAACCCATGATATTTTGTCCGGGCTTGGTGTGAACGTAGCTTTAAGCTGAGCACTCACTGCTTCAGACGGCGCAGCACTATCTACTGATTTTTGGTGGCAGTCTGCTTGGATCGTCATTAAAAAAGATCCGTTGCGCACACGTTGTGTTCTCCATATAACTACGTCAGACGAGGGCCTTCGGGAGCAGTGAGTGGCCAAGATGCACTTAAGAATAGAACACACTATTCTAAAAGTAATCGCAACAAGTGCAGATAGAATATTAAACATGTTTAATATTCTCACGATGATATGAAGAATGTTCCTGATGGTAAATCGTGTTGGGCTGCCTTGTATGCAACGCTCTCTCAGTTGACCGTAAGGATCATAAAAAGCCCTATTCTTTCTACCACAACCAGCTGCTACTGTCGAACTCAGTAGAATTGGACTAACAATAATAAACTATCTAATAATAATAATAATAATAAAAGCGTAAATAATGATATTAATAAAGAAGCATGCAAAAATGCAGTTAAATTTGGAGTAGCGAGGTCTTACTCACAACGGCCGTGTCAGAATTGTTCTTTCTATGTGGCCTTGTATTACTGATGTTGAATGTGCTGGGCTCTGGATAATTAACATGCTTGAAATTTACCCAATCCATCAGCATTGTTTGCATGGACTAGGTGTGTACAATAGGCCTTTCCAAGTGTCAATTAATCATCTGAATAGTCACAACAGGGCCAGGAACAAACTCATGTTCCACAGTAACACATGTTTGCATTTGTTAACAATGATCATGTTTTAGGACTTAAGCAACAATATCCAAGGGTCGGAGATTAGTGGGATGATCCATTTGGTCATAATCTGTATACTATCAGTCATGAAGATTTGGTTGGCTATCATATTGTTTCAATAGCATTCTTAAAAGTTGAGTGATTTATGAAAATTATTCCATGCATTGTGATTGGTTGGAAATTGTAATATTCTGGAAGGTAACACAAATTTTTCTAACATAAATACAAAACTTTGATAACATTATTTTTTTTGCTATTATATAACTGACGTCAGAGTAAATGTATGCGTCTCGCGTAGTTCTATCCTGTCATGGACTTAACAACTGACCAACCAGAATGTGTTATTTACGGACAGGAGTACACTCATATCTCTTAAAAACACCAGTTTATGTATGTTTACACTGTCGTTTTGTGGAAGTTTAAGCTCTGTTCAAACTTTAAAATTTCATGTGAGAAACAAATGTGATATGCCCGTATTTGGGTGTAATATATGACATCACCATGCCCATATATGGGCACATCATACTCATTTGTCACATAGATTTTTATAGTGTGGACAAAGCTTCAGCCACCATATCCAAGGGGCGGGGCTTAGCCAGAAATGGTCCCTTGCGAGTTGTCCATTGTAGCAGTGGCAGCTCTAGGATACATTTTCTGGGGGGAGGGGCTTCAGCTTGTGTGCCTGAGGAGGGGGAGGGTTTGGTAGGGAGTATCCCCCTCACAAATAAGATTTTTTTTTTAAATAGGGACCTCTTTATGCCTGGAAATGGCACTCTGTGAAAGACATGTTTTGGCTTGGTGTACACCTATTTTTAAGTTATTTTTTTTTTTGGTCTGACTGCCTGATGAGCTCGGCCGGTGGGGGGCTTGACTTGTCCGATGGGGGCTTAAGCTCCCTGCCCCCCCCCCCCAGCTGGCGCCGCAACTGCACGGTAGATGTGATGATTTAATGTCTATATCATTAGAATCGTGGGGTTTACCAGTTGTCAAGTTATAGCAACAAGAAATCTGAGGATTAGCAATTCGTTGGTCAGTCTTTTTGTTTAGATGTGAATGTTTATTGTAAATGAGGATATAATGTAATGCTAATATTATATAACTTGATAAGAAATAGTACTATTTAAAAATAGATCATTCATATTAAAGTGACTCCAAATTACTGCTTAATTGCTTACATTTGCTGATATAATTAAATCAATTTATATAACTTTCAAACCTTTGTAAAGACAGACTAGATTTAAAATTCCTCTTTTTTCTATGAATGATAGAGTGTAATATCTTGATATAGGCCTAAGCTATGAACTAAAAAATGGTCTTGCAACATTGTTCCAAAACTCGCTGTGTGGTATTTCTTATAATTGCTCTTATTATGCACGATACTCTTTGCAATTTCTTATGTCACAAAATGTTTCTGTAATACCTACTCCGTATCCGGCATGACCCATCGTATTGCAAACTTACAAAATGTTTTTTCTTCCAAATTTGCGTGTATATTGATAATAAAGATTGGCATGGCTGAATGCTCTGAATTTATGAGATAGTCTTTGTCTTGTTGAGTAAATAAAAGATTTGCATTGTGTTTTTCGATCTAAGCGTGGAACTACTTTAGCTCCTTTAAAAGTGGGTCAAAACGGCAGTAAACAAACATTTTCTGTAATAATGATAATATAATAGGATGTTATAGTTTTGCAACAGTGGCACTAGAAAAACCGTGCTCAAAAGAAAATGCATTAGGCCTACGTCAGTATATTCATAAAGGCTCTGAAACCAAAGGTTAAATTACAATGAAACTCTGCACACATTCACTATAAAGAACGCTTGTGGTATTTTCTTCTATTTCAATTCATAAGCCGAAATATGAGCAAAAAGTAATACCAACGTTATGCAAATGAAAGCACGGAAAAGAGACTAGAATAAGCTATTTTGGGATGCTGCATCCCTACATTGGAATTGGTAACAAACTTGTAGACCTTTCAGACAAGCTGGTGGCCTATCTTATGAATTATTAATATTATTAACTGGATTCTCCGAAAATTGACTTGGCAGAAAGATTTCGAGTAAATCTCAGTTATCCTCTGTATAACCCAGTAACATGAGAAGTATATTAGCGTAATTATTCTCCCAACCATTCCAAGAAAGAGCCGCCATTTTTCTGAGTATTTTAGGAAGTTCGTCACTGGTCGATAACCACTTCAATGCCGGTATACTGTTAACGCTACCAGTAACCAACGTATAGATACACCAGCGGGTTAGTCTAGGATCAGATGTTGATTCTAGGCTTCCTAAAACTGAGCTGAGACCATTCTTCACAAAATTCGTTGCGTTGTCCTTGTGGCTTTTGCAAATCTCACTCAAGCTTCTGGCGGCCTGAGTACGGAGAGATCTTGGATTTGCGATGTTACTCAAAATTTCGACAATAAGATCCATAGACTTTCCTGCACACTTCGAAGCTTCAGGGCCCCCTATTAAAAACAAATTAAAAATAAAAAATATTTTTTCTTCCGTAAAGGTCTGTGCAGCAAAACCTGTACAGGATATTTGAAAACCGTAGTAGTAGCAACCAATAATGGGTAGGCCTATACGTACCTGTGTATGCTAAGTGGCCAATTTTTCTCAACGCTTCTATTTTCGTATCAACATCAACTCTATCGGTAAGAAAGTGAATGTTCATTAATATCCCACGCTTGTACAAGTTTTGTTCGTTGTCCCATGCGTTGCTACTTTGTTCGGCGTGTGACGCTAGGTTTTGCCATGTTTTCTCCACACTCTGAACAACTTTTTTCATAGAATTAAACATATTTCCAGATTTTGAAGTTTATATTTGTATTGATGATGATAATAATAATATATAAGCATAAACATATGGTTTAGCCTAGGCCTAGACCTATGTTGACGATTAGATCAAGGTTAGGCCGAAAAGTGCCACAGCGTGCTCTGTATGCATTTTAAATCGCGCACGAACGTTATCAACCATGCGCGTTCTCCAGTGTTTGCAACGATATGCTGTTTGACGTTTGCCATTGGTGTTTAATAATAGGCCTACATCAAAGATCTTATAAGATCTTCGTAATACATCCATGGTTATAATAACGTTTTATGTTTGCTGGGAAACGAATTACCTAATAATATATATATATATCATTCAAACTGTCAGTCTTTACGTTCTCCAGTGTTTGCAACGATAATTTATGCTGTTTGACGTTTGCTATTGGTGTTTAATAATAGGCCTACATCAAAGATCTTATAAGATCTTCGTAATACATCCATGGTTATAATAACGTTTTGTGTTTGCTGGGAAACGAATTACCTAATAATATATATATATATATATATCAATCAAGCTGTCAATCAACCAATAATAGGATATTTACCGGTAAGTTACAGGGCACACGTGTCTGTCAGAAATACCCGTGTTGACATTGCCTCACATTTACAAAATGCATTAATATCATAGAATAAAATAATGAGCAAAATGACAACCAACATTAAAAAGGAATAGATTTTTTTTTAATAAAATGACGAACAAATTTGTTTCCAATTTTGAACCGTTTTTTAGTGCTCCTTCCCGTCACTTGCACGTCACAAGAACCCAACGATCATGATACTGGAAGCGTAGACGGATGACATGAGCATTGGTGATGGCGATGGACAACGACAATAATGATGATGACGATGATGGTGGTGATGATGACGATGATGATGGAGATGATGATGATGACGATGACGACGATGAAGCATGCTCCTATATACACATGATATACTTGTAAGAAGGAAGTTGCGACAATTACCACACATTTATACACATTTTCCTTATTAATACATTGCATATTATTTATTTTGATCTTGTAATTCCGAATGTTTAAATTCGATAAATAAAATACAACACAGCAGTATAATATAAAACACAACACAGCAGTATAATATTACCATTACAAAAATAAAAAAAAAATTTCATTTTTCATTTATTTTATTGGCACAAACGGCCCTGGGGCTGCGTCAACAACAGACTGCCGTAACACCGCAAGTGGTGCCCCCATGTATGTATGTACATTTATATATATATAATTATATAGGCCCTATATGCGTCACATTTGATGACAAGCTTTCATGCAAAATTACATTGGTAAACTCATAAAATCTGTTTACATTCATCTACGTAATATAGCACCTATCAGAAAATACTTATCAAAACGAACTACGGCTCTGATTATTCACGCTTTCATTTTCTCCCGACTTGACTATTGCAACTCTCTTTTATTTAACATTCCTAAAATCCAAATTAACAGGCTTCAACGACTACAAAACTCTGCTGCACGCATACTAACATTTACTAACAGACGCACTCATATTACCCCCATTTTACGTGAACTTCATTGGTTGAAAATTGATGCCAGAATTCAATATAAAATCCTTTTACTGACTTATAAGTCACTGACTCTCAATCAACCCGTGTGAACATACAGCTGTCTCTTATACACATCTAGATGTGTATAAGAGAAAGTTTTTTAAATTTTGCTATGGATTTGTTAAGTTATGATAAGAAGGGGCTTTCAAATTTTGTGCTTGTGCATTTTGTATTAATTTTAATGTAACTCCTTTTTTGTAATTTTGTTGGTCTTGAACGCACCGTCAATTGACGAGTGCCACTATAACAAAAGTGTAAGTTCAATAAATTATTATTACAGCCTCTAAAACATAAAACAGGGTACAATAAAGTTACAATTTAAGCCAGTAGCAAGTTAATCTTTGTTTTCACAAAATCGCTACACGCTATCGTCGACAGCTTTTGGTAACGCTGATTGGTTGGTCTAAACTAATTTTTCCATGGTTGGTCGGATCGGGGAGCTTTCCCGAGCGATAGTGTAGCAATTTTAAGGAAACCATGCTTTATATTGCTCATCAATAAACAACACGCACGTAATAATTTCAACGTTATAGAATGTTTGACAATCTGTTAACATACAGCAATAAACTCTTCCATTTGAAAACATCTGCAACGTATTGCACGTGTACGTATTTTGATACAGTTCACACTCAAATTCAAAACCACTTTTGGGACCTGGAAATGTGTAGACTTAACAATATCGGATTTCGGTCTTTCAGTCAATAGATTATCTTTGTGTTAGATAGAAAGATCGGGGAAAGATAATTGAAGTTGATAGTTGATTTTGAAAAGTGGTCTCGAATTAGAATGGTCTCGAATTGGATGGTGATCTGTAGGTCTAATTACTTTTTTGAATGACATTTAATCTAGTTTGACGTGTCTACTACTTATATTATTCAACAAATAATAATTACTATATTTTTGGCGATTTCTTCGATATGTTTTTCTTTGATTGTGATTAACGAAACATTGACAATTATCTACGTCTTTGGCAGCTATGGTGCAGTATGTGTACGTTAAGCGTTCGGATCAGATCTCTGCTTAATGATTCTTATTGTGTGCACCTCTGCTCCATTCTTGATTGTACATTTTCATGGATTTACTGCTCCACAATGTGGACATTTTTTTTCCTTTAAAATATAATGACAACATAGCACGCCCAACGGGAAAAATACAATTGCGCAGCAGAGGCCAAGTATCGTGTACGACTCCTCGAGGTCGCTAACTCTACATCGCGGACAATTACCGTCACGTCTACGGCCAGTGTTTACAGTTGATGAGACTTGTTGCTGGTTTGTAACGTTCACGATCATTGGCTGTGGTGGTGGTGCTGGTTGTGGTGGCGGGTAAGCATACATCGGCTGGGGTGGTGGATAGCCCGACTGGGGTGGTGGATAGCCCGGCTGGGGTGGTGGATAGCCCGGCTGGGGTGGTGGATAGCCCGGAGTAACTAAAAAGAGAAGCAAAATAAAATTTAAACAATATGTAAATTTAGAATAATTTTATCATTAGCGTTTAAAACTATTGTTAAACTTAATTTCACATTGAACGAATAATTTATATAAATAAACGCGCATTGCAAATGATTAAGCTAGTGAGGTGTTATCATCATTGCCATCTTCATCCTCCACATCATCCTCATCATTATTATCAGTACTGTATTATTATACCACATAATTTAGTTTAAGAAATCTGAGCGACCGACCCTATTTCCATTTGTATACCCAAATGAAACATAATGAGGCTCCACCAATAATTATTTGTGTTTGTATTTCGTTATAGGTGATGATAAACTGTAGCCAGATGTCTGTTAATGACTGATTATTTGCATTTATCAGGCCATTTATATTTCAATAGGCCTATTATTTATTTATTTTTTGGCACATCAGTCAATAGGTGTAAATAATCCGAGCGACCGACCCTATTTCCATTTGTATACCCAAATGAAACATAATGAGGTTCCACCAATAATTATTTGTGTTTGTATTTCGTATATAGGTGATGATAAACTGTAGTCAGATGTCTGTTAATGACTGATTATTTGCATTTATCAGGCCATTTATATTTCAGTATGATTTATTTATTTTTTGGCACATCAGTCAAGTAGTGTAAATAATCAAATCACGTTGTAATCGCTTTCACATCACAACACATAACATATAAGACCACAATTCGCCGGGGAGAAAAATTGTGGCCTATGTGTTTTCTACAATATTAGACTCTAAAATTGATTAAATTAATAAGCCTGTTTGAAAGCCCTAAATTTTCATATTTTTCGTGGGCTTTTTCCCCCTGGAACACTTTCGAGAGATTTTAAGCGACACCCGACCACGCCCACTTTTTTATCGGTGACATCGGCAATTAGTTGCAAAAATAATTAGAAAGACAAGGAAAGGGGATGGGGAAAATGAAAGGTATATCTTCTATATCATCATAATAGACGCCATTTTCGTCATATCGTATGTACAGTTCGCCCTCCGATTCAAGACCACCTTTTTGAGACCTGAAAATCTGTGGAATATATGCAGACCGTACACGAAAAAGACCAATTTTTTTAACATACTTTTATCTTAAAAGAATTAAATATTTATTTCCTCAGAATTTTTTTAATTTCTAAATGACTGAATCATAAATGTAATTAAGTTGTTTAGCAACTGGAACCGAATGAATCATTAATGTGATTATGTTTTTTTTTTTTTTTTTTTTTTTTTTTTTTTTTTTTTTTTTTGGTAACTGGAACCAAATTGTGTACCGTATCTATCTAATTATTCACAACAATATCATGTAGGCCGATCTTGTACAAATCCCTAGTTACTAAAATGCAATCGCTTATAGCATGGTACCGATATAGGTAAGCAAGCCCGTAGCCAGGACTTCGGTAGGGGGCTCCTTTACGGTTGTTATTTAATTGATTTGAGAGGCCATACATTTAAAAAAAATGTATATATTAAAGAGGTAATTTTTTATATAAAAAAAGAAACATTTTTAACACTAACATTATATTTGCCTTATTATCATTATGCCTCTAAACCAGACCAATACATACCGGTATACTATATGATCATTGTTCCACATTTAAAATGTTTTACAAATAAAACATTCATAATGTTATAGTCTACATACAACTAATAGATATTTTTATTTGAGACGTAAACATAGTATTCCTATTTTAACAATATTTTGTAATATAAATATATACATTTTAAATTATATATAATATACGGTACATAAACTAAGTACCGTATATAATAATAATATTTACTACAATAATAAGATTAACATTTTCAATCTTAATTTTATACAGCCGGTGAATGTATTGACCTAGGCTACTATGGCTAACGACAGGTACGCTTTAACCATAAAGGCTTTTTCTACGAATAGAATGACCGCAGGGGTGGCGCCAGGATTTGCCCGCCGACGTGGTGCGGGGCTCCCTGACGGGGGAAGGGGGAGATGCCTCCGACGAGGGGTCAGATTTCTCCGACAAAAGCAAAATGCCCCGGAAAATTATGACAATTTAGGGGTTTCAAAGGCTTATTTAATCGATTTTAAAGTCTACGATATGTAGAAAATACATATAATTTTTTTTCTCCACCACGAATTGTGCTTTTTCTCCCGGACGGGGTTGGGGGGAGCAGCTTTCCCCGACGGGGACTCTGGCAACCGGCCCCCTGCTAGCGCCACCCCTGAATGACCTGTACGAAGCATGAGTTCCTGTAGACAAAACCCAGTCCGTTTTGATTTAAATCGTACGGGAAATCCACTCAAAATGCAAAATTATCTTCGCTTCGGAGAGCTTTTCACCCACACCGCCACCAAAGCTCTGCCCCTGCACCCCCAGGGATCCCAAAATGGCCCAGGTCCCATGGCCTAAGGCTCTCACTTTGCTCGCTAAAACGCACCCAACCCTTTACATCAAACATCTTGCCTGCTGGCTTGAATGTTAGTTGGTTTGATTTATTTTTCACGAAGTGGCGAATGTTTAATAACTGCAATTCATACGTTAATTATTTTTTAAAGATTAGTTTAAAGATGAATTTCTAATTAACCAATCGTTATTATGCTCATATATTTTATACACAATATTAGGAGGCAATGTACTATAATTATAGAGAAATTTAGGCAATTTCATAAAAAAGGAAGGTATGCTAATAAAAATTACTATTTTCAAAAATCCTTAAATGCGTTTTTCTCAAAATGCACTTTTTTTCACATTCACCACTACGTTATGTAAGGGACGAATTGTAAAAAAACCTTACCTGAATTAGACCGGCTTGGGGTATACGGTGGTGGCGGAGCTTTTTCCATTCTTAAGTAGCTTCTTATAACAATGAACAGGATTAACAACAAAGGTAGTTCCTTACGTAATGTCTCTTAAAAACTTTATTGTGGATAGATGACTCTTCACCTGATGTATATAGGTAATGTTATCTGCAACATCAATTGAACCTTGAACTAATTAAGTGTATGTTGGTTTTTGATAAAGGCCGGCTACATGATGGACATTCTAATGCTGTCTCTTATACACATCTAGATGTGTATAAGAGACAGATATATGTGCGTTTTATATGCAACTCCTTTTTGTTTTTCTGTGCAACACAGATAAAATAACGAAACTTGCCCTTTCAATTGTGTATATATATATATATGATTTTAATTCATATAAGACATCTTTTCCCTCAATTTCAAAAATTATCATCAGTTGAAAAAAAGAACGAGATGGTCTCGAAAATCCAGTACAAATTACAGTTCAGTATAAAATTCATTGATAGAGTCTTAAGATTTAACTTTAAACGAAGTTGTATGTATATATACATATATTTTGCTAATCTTAGAATTTTTAAAGCTATAGGCCTATTGTGATTTTTTTACTCAATCTTGTAATTTTCATTTTTCCCAGGGTCACGCTGCTGGATAATGAAGCGTTGTTTTGGCTCTGGTTTTGAAGAGTATTCATAGACATGCATGTGCAGCACTTCCAATTATAATTTTAAAATTGGCAATTTCTTCGATATGTTTTTCTTTTTTTTCTGGTGATTCACAAAACTTTGACTACAATTTTGGCAGCTTTGGTGCGGTGTACACAAGAGTTTGGATATACAGATCTCTGCTAAAGTCATTGTATCCAATTTATTATTATAATTCTTATTGTCTACGCCTCTGTTCCGATCCAGTCTTGATTGTGAATTATCACTGATAAATTGCTCCACATGATGGACAGTGTCGGTTCCTCATCATCAGACAACATAGCAAACCCAACGGGAAAAAGAAAATAGCACAGCAGATGCCAAGTGGCGTAAACGATTCCTGGAGGATGCCAATTTGACATCGTGGACATGTGTTACCGACAACTATCACCTGGCTTGTGGTTGTTGGTCCTTGTTGCACCGTAACTGTCCTCACAGCTCCAGAATTACTGGTCGAGTAGACCGTTGTGCTGTTCGCTGGTGGATAAGCAGGCATCGGTTGGTTCGCCTGGGGTGGATAAGCGTACCCCATCTGCTGTGGAGGTGGTTGCATCCCGGTTGCTGGTGGATATGCTGGATCGCTTACTAAAACAGAAACAAAAATATATGTCAACAATAATAACTATGCATTCGGAACATCAATATACCTTAATTATATTTTTTTACAATTTTCATTTCATAGATTAATTAAATGAAAAGGCATCAATTCAAGCAAGCTTTTAGTTTCGATGCTTACAAAAAACAAAAAATAATAAATACATAATAATAATAATAATAATAATAATAATAATAATAATAATAATAATAATAATAATAATAATAATAATAATAATAATAATAATAATAATAATAATAATAACAAACAGCTAATAATAAAATAAAAAGACGATACACTAATTATTAGCCCTTACAATTATTAATCTCATTATATAAACCAATGCTAATTTTATAGACAATGCGCATTTTATGCTATGATTATTTCGATTTATCATCATTACCATCATCATCGTTCGCATCATCCTCCTTATTATCATCATCATCATTATCATTATAAACCACAGCATAAGGCTTGAAATATTATTAGATTA